GCAAACAAACGGCGAAGCCAACTGACAGCGACACAGGGCGCAAAGAAGCCGGAGCTTCGGGGTTCCAGGGACTCAAGGGGTTCCCGGGAATTGGACGTCGGATGGCGGATGGCGGACGTCGGACCACCAGGTGAGTGAGTTATCTGATGGCCGTCAAGCCGGACCGCCTGCCATCCAGCATCCACCTTCCATCACCCACCACCCACCATACTGCTGGCCACCCGCTGATGTCTGTCCGTTCTGTATTTGCGTTTAAAGTTTTTTTGATTGAATTGTTGCAAATTGTTTGCAAATCTATTTCGCCGTTCTCCCTCCGGATTGAACAATTGCTTTTTGTCTTTTTGAAAGCGGAGCGCTGCGGAGATGGGGATTGAGCGGGGGCCTTGTGGCCACGCAGATACTCGTACTCAGATACTCAGATATTCAGATATAGCCGCAAAGTCTCGACTTGACACTGAGTTATGGTTCTGACAGCTGCGAAAGGCAACGAACGGCCAGTTTTGGTCTGGCTTTCGAGTTTTCGAATTTTTGTTTGCTGTTTTCTGTTTCTTTCAAGGGGCTCTTTGTTAATCCTATTATCCAACCGTAGCGCAACTTCAGCAACAGATAAAGTAATTACCCCGGCTGCCCCAAAAAATGCCAAATAAAAAGGGCAACGCCGGAAAAGTGTTTCGCTGAGCTGGCAAAAAGGTAAAACATTCGGGGCTTTTGGGCCTAACCTTTTGCTTCTTATTAATTACGTCATTTAATACGCCTGAAAGCGGGAGTATTGTGAATTTTAAATTTCGCTTATGCTTTCTCCACACAGAAAACAGTGTTGTGCTGCTTATAATGACAATATTGAATTACTTTTAAGGTGTTAGCACCGAAGTTTGTATCTCTTCCAACTCGAAGAGAAAATCATTTATTTCCGTGCTTTAAAACATAATCCATTAGTTCGGAGTATCTCAACCGTTATTAAACATTTGCCATGGAAATGCAGCCATTTTCATTCCAACTTCATGGGTCAAATCAACGGCCTGGCCTTGCAAAATGGCCCAAATTACCGTCAATAACTGCTAACCTGGCCGACGTTAAGTTTAAGCACACACAGATACTGGGACAGCCAGATAGCCAGATAGCCAGCTGCATGGATACAGGTGTGGGTGCTGAAATCTAGACGCCGGCATTTATTTAGCCATTAAACACGCTTCATGGGCTTTGCTTATTTTCATTTTCATTATCAATTTGAGCGAGCTCTGTCCGGTTTCCTCTGCGGAACGAAATGGCGGGGACTGTAAAAAAGCTTTTAACTTAATTATGTTGGCCATAAACTGCAGGTTTATTTCGGCCAGCAATGACGCGAGCAGCGGACTCTAATTAAATGTCGCTCGGGGGCCTGGCCAACTTCTGGACCGGGCTTAGCTCTAGAGTTTAGGTGCCCGATACGTATATGGTAATTTCGAATTGCTGGCTTCGAGTGTTTGCTCGTGAAGCACTCGAACTAACCATTTTCCATTTCGGCCTGTCATTGTGGCCGGTGTGAAGTGAACTGAACGGAACTCAACTGAACCGAACTGAACTGAACTGGAGTGAAGTGTGTGCGGCGCGGAATGATTTACATAAATTCTCCAATGGCACCCTGTATTGACAGAATCAAGCGCTGGACAAACAATGCCCACACACTCCGCTCGCAACGGCTTAACCGTTAAGAAATAATTATATAACCTTATCCAGCAATAACAAGCTTATGCCATTTTGGCCGCCCCAAGTGCCAAGAAGTGCCGCTCTGCTTGGGAGCACTCGAGAAGTGGCCCAGTCTGCTGGTCCGACTTGGCCAAATGTCATTAGCATGGTAAGCGTGATAAATGGCCCGCAGACTCAGGGATTTCTGGTCTATATGCGCACGTAGAGCTCTGTTCCAGTCTGGGCATGAAGTCGTCAAATCATTTGTCACAGTTTTGCCAGCCTTTAAGTGACTGGGCTCCAGGGTCTCCGGGGCAGAGGTTTTGTCTCGCTTTCGGCGGGTTCAACTCCATTTTGCAGACTTTTGTCTCGGGAACTTTAAGGTCTCTTGGAATTTGTGCCAAGCTTTACCGAGGCATTTTTAGGGAACAAAAATATTTTTTGGAACAATAAGCTTAGAATTTATGGTTTCTTGATTTTAAATCCACTTAGTTTTCTAATGCCCACTAATGGTTTACATTTACTCTGTTTTCCCTTCATTACTATGGGAACCTTTACTCAAGCTTTATTTCACATATTGTAACATTTTATGGTTACATTGCTACCTAAAAGAGTAATTGTTTTCACATTTTAGCAGCCAATTTAAATGTGTCTTTGACATTATTGTGGTAACGCTGTAAAGCAGCTTTTGATTTGTATTTTTTTTTAATCAAATTAGCATGAGCTACATACGCACCTAAGCAGAATAAAAACTACAGGCAAAAATGTAACAATTGATAAATCTCTTTGTAATTCAGTCAGTAATTCGGTCAAATTTATTTAAAGCGAATTTCATTCATGACATTGTGGTCGTTTATTTGCGGGTGTATCTATACGATTTTGTTTGTTTTCCGCTTGTCGACTTAAATTTAATCCGCAAGATAACGCATTCCGAATAATCACTCATACGCAACGTTCGACGCAGCTCATGTCGTGGCCATGAAATATCGATTGCGCACCCATACACATTTTGCAGCATTGGCTGGCTGGGCGCCAGAATAAATACTCAGGAAAAACAGGTCGGCCCAAAATCGGAAGTAAAATATACATAAGCCATATAAATCTTCTGTATGTATCTGCTCCAAAAATTTGTGTGCAATCATTAAAGTGATCCTCATGCCACATCTTGTGTACACCCCACTCAGCAGCTCTGTCATTATTGGTGGATTGCAGTGGTTTGGTGGCCTTAAGTGCGTGCGCTTAGTGCCATCGGCAGCCGTCAAAATCAACACGGCCAAAACGACAACGTCGCCGTGGCAACTTGACAGCCAGTCTGCCCGAGTTGCTTTTGGCCACACTCCTTGGCCGGAGTCTTTAGTCGTGTAAATAAAATTACGTTTTGAGGCTGGCGGCCACACGCATTTTTTCCGCTGCCGTTTTTGCATATCAGGCCATCGTCATCGCGGCTCTTTGAGTTTTCATTCATGGCTGGGCTTTCGACGTTGTTTGTGGTGGCTTTTTTCTGGGTTTTCGGAATTTGTCGGCGGCGAGTCTTTTATCAATCATGTGGTGAGTCGAGGTGACTCGCCCCGACCCGCCAATAATGACAAGCGATAAGTTGTGCCAGCTATTATAAGTACTTGCTCCGGCTCTGTCCACTTTTTAGACTCATTAATGGCGACCCCCGCGGGCAGAAATAGCCACTGCCCGCTTGCCCATTTGGCCATGTGGCACTTGGCCACTTGACCACTTGGCCGTTGTCAAATTGTTGCCACGCCCTCAAATGCTAGGGCCGCTGGCACTCGGCTGGGATCTTGTAAAATTATTATAAATCTCCCCTGATGAGCTGTGATTATTAGCGTTTTACGTGCTCCAATTCTTGCACATGCCATGCACCATGCACCATGCCCCATGCACCACACGCCACAAGCTGCCAGTGTCATTAGTCAGTTCCCGGAATGGCTAAACTAGTCTGTCGTCGTGGCTAAGTTCCCGATTCCCTAGCACCGATCCCCGACTCCGTGCCGCCGGTCGATCAATCAGGCAGCAGGCTGCAACAACTTAAAGCCCGTGGGCGATTCACGCTCAACTGGTCCAATTACCTGGCACACACCGCACACCCAACATATATGTATGTTGGCATGTGTGTAGACGAGTACACACACCGCCCGACTTTACGGCATCTGCATAATTAACTGGCGGCCCTTTAAGTCGCTGCTAATTATGTCGCAGACCTCACAGGCACATCGCATCGCAGATGACAAGAATTTGCATTGAATATGATCGGGCATCATGTTGTAGTGGAACCTTATCTCGGTGAACATCGGGCGATTACCTTGAATTGTGCATGGAGCACAACCTTCAGCTTTGTTCTTTTCGGGATGGATGTCTATGAAGGTCTACGAACGTAATTGATTTAATGCAGTTTATTGGGATTGCAGACAGAGTTTTATGTTTATAGGGCATCAATTGGTATTTTAATCGATTCGATATTGCTGTAGAAAACCATACATTTAATTGTTGAAACTAGAGAGTTTTCAAGGCAATTTGGTGCTCGGCAAATGGCTTTTCTGATTTATACACAATCGAAACCATCTCGATGTCATCGAGCTATTTTATGGCATTTTAACAATATTTCCCCGAACATTCATAACTGATTTATGCCCTCGATTTCGTTCTTGGAATCCGAAACGGACTCGGAATATTTTTCAATTAAAAGCCAGAGAGGCAAATACAAATACAAATACAAATATGCTGGCTGGGAGTTTCCTTTTTCATGGGGGCTGCATGGGGACAAGATTTTGCAAAGGTTTGCTGAAACCGAAGAGCAGAAATCCAGGCCAACCATACGGCGGAGAGGAATCACAACAATTTATTTGATTTGCCCGCACAATGATGCCAACTATGAGATGGCGTGCGAAATCAGCACAATTTTTCCCAGCCAAGCTGAGTGGAGAATGGCAAACGGAGACAAAGGGATCCGTCGCCTGGCGACCCATTTAATTTGGCAAACGTGCGCAGTTTTAAGCCAAAGAGATGGAAAGGCGCTGCAAAACAGCAGGCATCTGTGGCGATGGACGTGTGAATGATGACACTTTGCATGTTTGCCAAGTCACAAGGCCCTGCACTAAATATTGATGAGGATGGGGCACTGGCTTGGCACCCCTTAAAATCCGAGGCACGTGCAAAGTATGCAACACTTTTGTGGCCACAAAACGCTCTTCAGCACGAGGATGGCGATGATGATGCTGACGATGTTGTGGGGGTGAAAGCGAAAGAGTTGGCCATGTTTACCAGCAGGGAAAAGCAAAAAAAAAAAGGAGCTCTAGAGCTGTGGAGCTGTGGAGCTGACTTACCTTGATCTCGTGTATAAACTCGGTTTCATCCAGCAAATTAATGCGCACGGACATAATCCGTGATGGGCGACAGAGGCAGTTCATGTTTGCTTAGCCGTGCTTTGGCCCGCTGACAAGATTAAGTATACGCCGCGATGTCACCGAGAGAGTGAAGCATTTTCTGCAATGGAAAAGATAGAAAGTGGTTATTAATATCGTGCAGGTAATTAGCAGGTAGCTGGCAATTAGTGGGAATGCAACTGCAACGGGCAAACTGGTTTGCTCTGTGGGTATGTAAACATTGTCGCAACAATCTCCGGCATTTGAGCCAAGTTAAAGCCACTAGGCCTTGTTTTAATAACTCTTTTGGCTTCGCCGTTTATCTGCCTGCCAGATCAGCGGCAAAAGCAACTTTAACTTCAACACCAACAGCAACACCAACAGCAACAGCAACTTCAACATCAACAGCAACATCAACATCATCATCAGCGGCAATGACAGTCCAACTGTCAGCGGTTGCCGCTCCCTAGTTGGGCATTATCATTATAATTTTATAATTGCGGTTGTTTGCCAGCGATAAGTTTAATATGCATGAAGTGGAAGAAGCAGAGAAGAATCACCTACGGCCAACAGACAGCGGCAGCACCAACAAAGTCACTTAAGCGGATTAGTTAAAGGGCTTTCTGCTCCAGTGTGTGTTTGTGTGTGTATGTTGGCCAAAAGCAGATTATGTCATTAGAGCCATGGGGGCATGGGGGACCCCGGAGGCGGGAGACGGAGCACGAGAGGAGGAAGCGCCGGGCTTTGGGCGCCAACATAGCGGTGGAGAAGGCGAGAGCCCCCACAAGAAGAAATGCGGCTGATAAAGCGCGAAACCTAAGCACACTTAAGTACAGTGGACAACTGCATGTGACGCCTGGCAAGGCAATGACTAACATGTTAAGATTGTGTTCCTGCTCAAAACCAAATAGCACAAACGGACTAGTCCAAAGACCAACGTTTCAATCGTTGAGCCCATCAAATCAGTTTGAGCCCCAAACAAATTAAGCCACGGCACAGTGTCTGCCGTATTCCGTATTCCGTATACCGTATTCCGTGTTCCACGAGCTGATATCTCTCGGCAACTTCACACAACATTCGCCGACAGTCGGAGATAGAAAAAGAGTTCGCCTTTTGTGCCGGCTGCAACTACAAAATAATTAATGTGCACTCGCATAATGAAAGGCGCCGAGCGCAAAAGCCAAAGGAGCAGCTGAAAAACATGCCAACTTTTCGCACATTTCACATGGCCAGACCTCAAGTCTGTTGTTTTGCATACACGGATAGAAAGATAGCGTGCGTAAATAGTATCGCAGAGATATGCATTTTAGGCATCTGCCGCAGAAAGGGATGCCTGGGCCACAGAAATGTGGGTCCTGGCTTGAAACTCACTGCGCGCCTTTACTTATTTTCGTTTTCAGGTGATATTTCTTGATATTTCGTCGAGTGTACAATGGCACAGCGCAGATAGTGGCTGCCTTCATTAGACGCTAGTAGCTGGCACATTTCCCACTGCCTGGCGCTCATTACACTAATGAAATATTATGCCTAATTAATGGAAAGTCGGCTGCCAAGTTGACTGACATCTGTCATACATCTGTCTTTAACTTGGTCACTCTGTCAACGCAGCAGCAGCAGCAGAATGAGCAGCAGCAACATCAATTAAAATGCATATATTTCTCTGAATGACAGCCACTATGAATGGAATGGAAAATGGAGAATGCAGAATGGAGAATGCACTGCATGTAATTTTAATTGCAGCCAAACGCAGGCAACAACAAGTTCATTCAACTTGCCCCAGCCGCCCCTCCTCCCCGCCAAAAAACACCCACAAGTGGCAGCGCCCCAACGCACAGCGGAAATTACAATTTACATTTATGTGCCGCACTTTTACGATGGCATTTTCCGCATTTTCCTTAAATTTAATGCTCATCTCGTTAAGCTCCCGCCTAGAAATTATGTACATTTAAATGGAAAGCAATTTGCGCGGCAATAAACTTATTCATTGCCATGTTCGGTTTCGGGGAACATCACCCTTGAAATCTTCTAAAATGCACTTCTGCATTCCACGATTCTCAGAGACGACCTCTAAAATCTTTTAATTATGCTGTATTTAAAGAGACACCAAAAGAAAGCTCTATTTTTGGGAGCCATAAATGGAATAGTGGCATGTCGCCTTCATAAAAAAATCGTTTTTTTCGGTAATAAGAAAAACCTATTCATCACAGGTATCACCATTTAATGTAGCTAGACCCAGTAACCTCTCACATCTCAGAACTCGCAGAAAAGTTGAATCGAAATGGCCATAACTTTGGAAGGGCCAACCGCAAGGCCATGTGCGAGTTGGTCCCCAAAAATCGCGCCACCGCACATACTCGTATGATAAATATGCCATTGATCGATTTTTGAGCAGCTTTTCCAAACCTTCGCCATTCCAGATGACACTGGGGAAATTTATCGCCCGGCATATTTATAGGGCCATATCTTTATGCCCGAGCCTGTGTTTACAGGACATCATCAGCATCACCATCACCATCACGGCATCAGCATGAGAATCGTTTCTTGAGCCAGCGACACCCTCATAATTTCTTTTCCCATCAAATTTATCACAGCAGCAGGGGGCGGTGGGCGTGACTTTTGGCCAAAACCCCCCGTATCTTAGACGCCCCGGCCGGAAAAACTTGGCTTGATTTGTGATAAAGTGCGTGTGGCATTCGCCAGAAACCACCCGTCCTGTTGGCTCTCATATTTATCAGACGAAACTTTGCTTTCAATTTTCCGGGGAACTTTACTACTTTCTCTACCATGGCTGGCTCTTTATTTTTCCTGCTTTTGCCTGGTATATTAATAATATTTGTGCCCGAAACTCTGCTCCTCACATCATCATAAACGTGGCTCCCTACTTGCATTCATTTCAGCGTTTCTTGGCTTGATGGACGGACGGGCGTATCAATAACTGAAAATGTCTCAAACAGCATTTTGTCATATTTCAATGGATCAGAGGACCCTTCATCCTCGATTTTCCCCAATTTTCCCCCATTTTTGCCATTTTTGCCATTTTATGTTTGCGGAAGTAACACCCAGCCAAGGCGAAAGCCAAACAAACTTTCAGCACATCCATCTGGTCGGGAAAAGTGGGGGCTTGGGTCTGATTCAGCGTCTGGTTCTCTGGCTAAACGAAATTATTTATTACCCGCCGTGCTGTGTGCGTAGAAGCTGCTGGTAATGATGATGAAAAACGTGAAAGCATCGAAGAGTGCAAATGGCAAAAAGGTGAGACTCAGGGCGGTGGCGGTGGCGGTGGCGGAGCTTTGGATTTGGATCCGTATTCGGATTCGGAAGGATTGCCCAACCTCATCAGACCAGGCCAGGACCAGGCCAGCAACTGAAGCAGTGCCAGACTTTCCGACTTTCGGGCTTTAATGATGATTAAATGCGCGCCGGGTTTCGGGCATTAGGGGGATAGACCGGTATGTATGAAAGGTATGGCACTGATTTGCTCCTTTTTTTAGTTGGTTGATTTGACTACGAAACGGGGCTTATTGGTTTCGGGGGCGTCGGGCAGTGAGATGTAAATAACTCTCAAATGAGCTGGAAAATTGAAGCCAAGGGCACAGGCATTTATTTCTCCTAGACTGCAAATGACTGAGACTTAATGGAAGGTGGGCATGCGAGGGCTTCAGGGAAATTCCATTCTGACAGTTGTTAAAGGGTTCGTCTGAGTTGCGTTCACCTCAAGACCTCCACAATGACATAATCCCGTCCAGAATTAGTTGGAAAAATACGTTTATCTCCCATTCGGAGCCAGTCGATGCTCCTCTTGAGATATGCGTGTGCAAAATTACTTAATATTTGTTCACGAGTTAGTCCCTGTTAGTCTCGTCTCGTTTTCTGACTCTGGCGCTAGTTTCTGAGAATTTGCTAGCTGGCTCATTTCTTCAGAGCCATATGCACAGCCAGAGATGCACTGGAAAAATGTGCATATCGTTTAGGAATTACGAGTGTCGAAAAATATCAATATCAAATGTATCTAGCATGTTATTCCGAGACTTCCATAGGACATCTGAGCACAAGAATAGCATAGAGTTTATTAGTGAACTGAAGTAATGTTTGATGCCATTTCTCCGTGTGCATATCTGCGCCAAAGCCACAAACGTGGCACCAAGGCAGGCAGTGGAAAGGGGCAAGTTGGCAATCCGCAGGCGGGCATAAATTTTACAGCCACCTCACACACAATTGCCACATAACATATGGTCCGAAGGGTGGAGTTGGAGGTTGGGGGCTGGGGGCTGGGGCAGCTGGGCGTGGGCCTCGGAATACCTTGAGGCATTTGCAGCAATTAACACGGTCGACGGCGTGTCTTGGCGCCCACTTTCGACGGGGGCCACAATCAGAGCCAGATTCACTGCCTCCTGGTTTCTTTCCCACTTATATTTGGCACGTAATGAGCCTGTGGAACCCAATGGGATTGTCCAAGGCATCCAGACAGGCTCTAATTGCATTGACGCTCGTGCCCCGCATGACATACCCATGCCTCATGCGAGTTTACTGATTGAGTTGCAAGTTAATTATGCCTCTCGCTGGCATTTCGATGATTTCAATGATTTGTAGCGGTTCGCGGGCAAATATTTCGCTGCAGTCTTGTCCCTGCTAACGTCACGTATCCGCAATGTGTTTCTTACTTTTTTTTTTCTGGCCGAGTCCTGGCTGTCGAGTGCAATGACACACAAGTTTTTGCACCGTGTGCTGCATGAGTATTTATTTACAGTTGCCGACAACGACAACGACAGCTGCCTCCAATGAATCAGCGTGTGTCGCCGTGTGTGCGTTAATATTTAAGCGGTTGCATGGGAACTTGTTAACACCATCCATCCAACCAACCAGCCAGCCAGCCCACTATCCAGACCCAGAATCCAGACCCAGAATCCAGGCCCTGAATCCAAGACCAGACGGTACCGAAGCCAAAGCCAGAGCCAAAGCCCAGACGAGCGCCCAGGGAGCGGGTTCAGCGAGGGGCTCCCCAAAGGGGGGCGCCCAAAAGGGCTAAAAGGAGGGGCAGGTGGCTTAAATGCAGAGGAGGGGCAGGAAGCTGCACGGCTACGTGAGTGATTGTCAAGTGCTTGACGCTGCAGACAAATGA